TTTGATTTCGTTTTCTCTCTTCTTAATTTAAAAAAATATATTTTTGAAAGTGCTGATGGGCTATCTCCCCCCCCCCAGCCTCTCCTCTTCTCCTTCCTTTAAAAGCCCTCCCCTCTCAGCCTCTCAGCTCTATCACTGACGTCTCTCTCTTTATTTTTCTTCCTAACCATCACAGCACACTCTCTCCTCATCTCATCTGCATTGCACCCCCCCCCCACCACTGTATCTGTTTTTAGCCTTTGGAAAGTATGTTGGGTGTCATACAAACAGGAAATGGCATTTATAGGCTGGTGAGAATGCTTATAGAAACCTAAGAGTACCAGAAAGGGAGACCATCTAATTTCTGGTGGCATTATAGACATTGATGTAAAACCTGATAACAGCCTTTTAATGTATGATCTGCCTTAGATACTCAAGCTGGCTTTGAAGACTGGTGCATCACTCATAAAAGTTATATCTGACGGATATTGTATCTGTGTTAAATTTTTTATTTTTTTTATTTTTTTATGCTGGCGATATGGTGACTTGGACAGTTTGTTGATTATCTGACCAGCAGACAAAACTGGAAAAGCAGTACTCACAGACAGCCTGCAGGTGGCAGTGTCTCTGTGTGATGATGGATTAAACAGGCCAGCCACAGCAGGAGATCTCATTATCAGGTTTCTTACATCATATTTTGAGCTATTTTTGCATTTACTGCGCAAATCCATTCAAACAAGTTTAAACGTTGCTTGTATTAACAGAAGTGTATGAGGCAGGATCTCATAGAAGTATAAATGGCAAATAAAGTGGAATTTTCAGCTCTTATGTAACGATTGTAGGCATGGGCTACTGACTGCACTAATAACACTCCGAGGCAACTGGGTATGACAGTCACACTCTTTGCTTAAGGTGAAAACGAGCGTCTAATTCATCCTCATTGTGAAATTCAGCAAAAAGTGATTAACTGTCAAATGCAATTTGGTACATTGTGACAACCATTGCTATCGCTGGGTTAGTTCTTGCAAGTTGAGGGCTAGATTCTCAACATGCTTCTGTATTATATATTTTTATAAAAAAAAAAGACATTTATCATTTTGTCTGCTTTTCCGAACTAGATACACGAAATTGGTCTTAACGTGTGAAATGAATGCTGTGGTAGGCTGAGGAACGAGGATCTGATTCTCACACGATCAAGCAAATCACTTTGATGGTGTAACAAAGAAGTGTCAAAACATGCACACATGGAATCTTGGAAAAATGTGAAACTTTTCCAACATGCGCCAACATTCTGTCGTTCCCAGGCAACACCAAATTGATTATTTGATTTCTTTAGAATGGAATAATAGGATGCAGGTCCCTTTGTTAGAAATAAAATTTCAATAGAAGAAACAAAACTATTTCGAACAATTGACAGAAATATAGCCGTTTTCGCTTCGCATAACTTTGCACCTGTCAGCGTGCTGTTATGAAAAACCACCATATTGAAGAAATTAATTGAGGCAGAGTGTCACTCGTTGAGTTGTGAATCAGTGCCCATGTACGGAATGCTGTGAGTTCACATCCCGTAGGTGACACTGTAGTCATATCACTGGTGGACTCTTGAGCAGAGCCCATGACCCTGAGTGACTCTGCTCTCTGATCCTCATTTCTCACTTTGGATAAAAGTGTTTACGAAGTAAGTAAATGTAATGCAAATGTAGCAAAATAAAATGGGCAAGAAAGCATCAGTACGTGTGTAAAAGTGTGTGGGTATAATCGTGGGCGTAAAATACTGAACACCAGTTACAAGAACGAAGTTGGGCTGTTCGCCTTTTATTTTAAGGATAAGGAACCTGGTCATGCTCTTGCACATTAGTTTAATCCAGCATCCTGCAGTTTAAATGGGGGAGCACAGGGCCTCAGGGAGGGTGTGGAAAATGTCCATCCATTGGGTTTGGGGTCCAATCCCACAGCACATCTACAGTAGTGGAGAAGTGGCAGTCCGATGCTGACATAATCCCAAAGGTTCCATGGAGTGCGATAAAATTAATTTTTTTATAGGAAGAAACCGTGTTTTGCAATGGCTGAGCTAGCATAGTAGAAATGTTCCAGACTGAAGTGTGGAAGGTTCCTCAAAGATGGTACGAAGAACTGATTTCTGACTAGAAACCATTTTATTGCGTCGAGTAGATGGTTAGATATATTGTGTGTTTGTTCAGGGTATTTCATTTACATTTTGGAATTCAGATTGAGATATTGAGATCGCCTAAGACATATGAAGCATGGAAAGTTAGCATGGAAAGTTAGCATGGAAAGTTCACATATTCTTAAACTGCCCTTGGTAGTGTGCCTCCATACCTATCTGTTGTTTAAAACATTTTTTGGACATTCCTCCCCTTGTAATGCTTTTGTGCTCTTCACAGTGTTGGGCTCCATTGGATTGTGCCCCCCAGCCTCCTGTGATGGAGCAGATGTAGCAGCTGGTGTGGATGTATCACAGATTGTTCAGCTCCATGAAGAGTCATTCAAGTCTGGAAGGCCTTTGTGCCGTGGGTTTTGCCCGCTCTGCCATGCCGCTGGCTAAACAAGGTTCTTTTTATTCATCGTGCCCAGGCAAGGGAAGGGTCATGACCTTACGGGACCACCTCCCACAGCAGTAAATCTGAAGGGGGTGGGGGAAGGTTCTTCTGAAGTGCTTCCCAATCTACTGCTCATCTGCCCATATGGAACTTGGAGCAGCCCATTGATTAGTCATGCCTGGGAAAGCACTGCGTCCTGTTGTGTCATGCAGTGCTTATTAGAGATTATTGTCAAGACATCTGGGGGTGCTGAGGGGTGAGAGGGAGAGACAGTGCTCCTGTCCAGATGGAGTGAATCATAAAGGGGGGCAACAGGGACGGAGCAGGATTAGTCTGTACTTGGACTGCAGGGAGGGCAGCCTACGGCCGTCCAGCTCTCTTGCCTGAGATGACCGCCTTCCTGCCAAACCCCACACATCGCTGCGGGGCCGCAGAGGGCCATCCCGCTTTGGCCGGCTCTGCTAGGAGGCCCGCCGGGCCAGGGTTGCCCCCGAGCTCCCATAGCTGGTACAGCGCATGTGCCTTCACCGCTTTCTCCAGGAGCAAAGCGCACTTCATCAGTCTGCGGGACAGTCTGCGGGACAGTCTGCGGAAGAGCCCCGCCGATAGCATGACCAGGGTGTCCTTAACGGGCCACTGGAGCTTCAGCGGCTTGTGGGTTCCCCTCCCCGGCGATGAGGTACGGCACGTTTTATGGTGACAGTCTTCATTGTCCTGGATTGTCCTTCATGCTTTCATGCTGGGTGCTCGGAAAAGCCTTATTCCATACTGACAGCGATCTGCCTCATATTTTTGGGTTTATATATATATTTATATATATATTTTTTTTTTGGGTAGATGGTTTGAGTTCTCTGTAGTTTTCTAGGCCATAGCGTTGAGACTGAGACTGGTTCTTCGTGTTGGTATGGTGGATTTCAGGCAGAACATGCGCGTGAGTTTTTTTTTTTGTTTTTGTTTTTATAAGAATGACGTGTTTTGTTCTCAGGGGACGTGGAGCTCTTTTGTTAAAAGATGAGTGTGGTGCCCTCTTTGCACTTTTCATCCTGTGGCTTCGCTGTCTTTGAGCACGTGGGGCTGGGGTGCTCCTCCGTATCACTCCTGGTGGTGTTGAGTGAGAGTGTGCGAACGGCTTCGGGGGGAGGGGACAATATCGCTGGTAGGGGGGCATGTGTATATAAAAGTACTGAAGTTCCTATAGACTAATCGGAAACTTGAGGTTTTCTGATCCATTGCATTGATCCGGTTTTGTTTTAGCACTTTCTGCTGTTTTCATTCCATGCAAGTGCAGGTAATTAGTTAGCATTAGGCTCAAAGATGGAGTGAGCCATTGGTAGCATGACTAATGGAGGTGCAATGGAACAACAATTAGACCCCCCCCCCCACCACCCAAATGTGACGTGTGACATGTTGGACGCGGTTATAGACTGCTATTAGTGTCTCTGTGGCAGCCCCCACCCCCAGATAAGTGCTCTGAAAGCCTGGACTCTGCAGAGCCCATCCCAGGACATGTGCACTTTGAACAATACAGCTCCCTTAGCCATTGTTCAAATTCCCAGTGAGCATTTAATGTACCAAGACGCCTTAAAACAGCCTCATGCCTGAGCTCTGTGTAAGCGTTGTCCTGCCATCTTTTGGTTGCTCTTTGCATGTATGGGAAATTAACTTTTGATTTGAACTTCGAATGGGCTTTGAGTACCACCAAATATACAGCTGTGCTCCGCATAAAAGCCGAGGATTTCCGAAAAGTGTAGTAATATATTTCTGGTGTTTGTGCACAGAAGCACCTTAGCTGAAACGGAACTCTTGCTTCCGCTAAAATCTGTCCTTAAACCGATTCACTGCTTGCTAAGATCTTAAAGGCCGCGAGTCAGCGTGCGCCGCTTGCCAAACGTTCACGGCTCTCGCTGCAGCCGCTCCGTCTAAATTATGGTGCTTGTTTCTGCCACGGGGCGACAGACGCCGCCGCCCCGCTGGGAGTGGCTGTTCCTTGGCCGGGGTGACGACGGTGTCCCGGCCTCCGCTGTCACCGTGCCGTGCGCACTCACACGGCGCCTGACACCCCAGCAGAAACACCGTCCTGTGGCTGAACCCCAGCGGGGAAGTGCTATGACAGGCTGACATGCAGAAGTATAACCACAGTTAGGCGCTTTTCCGTCGTCGTAAACAAATCACTCAGAATACGCTGTCCGTTCTCCATCAAAGGAACAAAAATTAATATCGGTCTTATTATTTTGATGGTCAGTATGAACTTTAACCCAAATGATTCAGTTCTTTTGTCCTGTTTCTCTCAGCCCAGCCTGGGGTTATCCACAGATTGCCCAGTCCTCCCCATTTACTCCAACACAAAACATCTGACATCCTCACATCCCACCATATCCTCCTCCCTTGTTACCATTTCTTCACCACCATCTGTGTTTCAGTGTTTTGTGTTGTGTTCTGACCTTTGACCCTGTTGTCCAGGAGACAGATGCTGTTCCTCCCTCTGCTCCCATAATCCCCGTGATCCCTATATCGCCCATCCCAGCCAAGACCCCTGTCATCTCTTCACCCACGTCACAGGTCCTCTTTTTTTCCTGTTCATTTGTTTTTATCTATTTATTTTTTCTTTCTTCATCCTCCCATTCGACTGCTGTTCCGATGCAGTTAGAGGTCACGGCCGGACAGTGAATTGCCTGCTTTGGCTACGGGTCTGAATGCTTTGCAGCGGCGGAGAAACCCGACAGGGGAAACCTGGAAGAATAAATTTAAGCTTAAAGACGTAATCGCTTTTATGCTTCAGCACTGCATTTTCCGCAGTATAAAATGTCATGCCTGAATCTTCCTCCACGGTGACCTGTAATGCATGCCTGCATGCTTGTTTTCAGACATGCACAGTGTATGTTAATGCAGTCTCTCAGCAGACTGGCATTTCTGAAGCACGCTGTCTGCACGTCTGCGCGGGGTCCCGCGAGGCGGAGGGATGCTGATGTATGTGTTTGCGCTCTCATTTCCAGGCCAATCCCCCACCTGTTCTGGTGAACACTGACAGCCTGGATTCGCCGTCATATGTAAGTGTTTACATGCGACGTGTCTCTCTGCCGGCGTCTCAGTGATGGTGGTCAGATTTCCGTAGCATTTAAGCATTTTAATGCCTCGTTTTTCCACAGTGCACAACAGTATGTATTGATGTTATAACGTCTCTAGCCTAGTGTTATTTTGTTCTTATATTTGAAATACCTTTTTACATCTGTTTTTTTGAGAGTAATGCCTTTTCTCTGCTCATTTTGAATGTAAAGTGTGTGTGTGTGTGTGTGTGTGTGTGTGTGTGTGTGGTTCATCTGTTTTTTTTTTTTGACGTTGTGGGGACCGTTTTTCAGATCCCCACAAAGATCAAAAAACTAAAAATGCCAAAAGCCTCATGCTTTGTTTGGTTACTTATGGTTAAGTTTTCCTCATAGAAATGAATGGAGAGTCCCCGCAAAGACAAAATTACAAACCTGTGGGTGTGTGGGATGCATTATCCCACGAAGGGCTCTCCCGATGCTGCAGATGTTGCATTTGCATATAGGTGTGACAGAACACAGGGTTGGCTGCTTTGGTTAGCACTATCCTTGGTGCTGAAGTGGAGTGCTATCCAGACCAGTGCAGAACCTGTTGGGCAATCATGTAGCAGGGGCAGGGTAGAGCAGGGCCATTTGCTGGGTGTGTGAGAGCCCAGCGCTCCTGGTCTGACTCCCCCTCACCCCTTGGTGGCGCCCTGCAGTGCTTTGTCAGTTAAGCTCATTAGTGCTCACCTACATGCTCCCTGATTCCTTATGGCCTTCGCTCACTGAGCTGTGGTTCAGGTGAAAATGCTTTGGGCGTCATCTCATGCATGTTTTGGAGATGGAATGTGCATTTCTGTCCTGTGAGGCTCTGTTTAGACTGTAGAAAAAAATGCTGAGTATCAGAGAATCTCTGTTTGTTGTTCTGGTATAATCCATGTTGTTTCAATAGATCTAGTCTATATTGCATACTTTGTTATGTATACTGGGAACTATAGATGCCACTGTGACACTCATCACAGTTCTGTAATAAAGATGACACCCATAACTGATGGCTCTTTAGACCTGGGAAGTCAGGGAGCCTTAGGCCCAAACCACAATCATCTGACTCTCTCTGGCCACCATGCAGAGCCGCTGGTTCATGGACCATTTTGCCTACATACTGGAAACTACATTTTTGCCCTACTGGGCAAGTAAGAGAGTGATAAAACCAGCTTAACTGTGTCCCATTTGGCGCCGGCCGTAGCTGTGGAAGCCACAAGAGAACGTGGGGGATTAGTGTCCCTCCACCGCTGTCGTGACCGAGGTAGCTGAAGGACACCGCCCTCCTTTCCGTCATCGCTTCGGTGCATGACAGCGAGGGAACTCCGTCCACCTGGGCTGCATGGTGCCCCTGCCCTCTCTGGGTTTTATGCTGTTGGATTTGCGTGTAAGAGTCACTGTTTTTCTGTTTGCGGGAGACCAGGCTGAAACCGACCAGAAAGGAAAGGTCCGTGTCTCCTGCATCATGCACTCCCATCAGCTTTTTTTCTGCCGGGTTTGAGACACTCTCAGAGCTCTGCACCTGGTGTTCTGGCTCTGACAGTTGAGTGTGGTTTCTGTGAGTCTGCAGCAGGCTAGCTAAGGCAGACCTTCCTCCGGGGTCCATTGTCACCTGGGACTCCAACACCCTTGACCTAATGTGAGAGCACTCTGACACGACGCGTTAGTGAAACATCTGCACTCACAGCTGGCCTGTTTCAGGTAGCTAGGCAGGTGCACCATTGGTCGTATCCAAGCTTATATCTTATTTCTCTGCTTTGTCAGGTCAATGGAACAGAAGCTGATTATGAATATGAAGAAATCACGCTTGAACGGGTAAGCGAGTGGCATGGAACCCAAATACTCTCAATCCCTGTAAGGAGACGGAATTTCATATGTGTGTCAGATATGATTGATTTGTTCACCTGTAACAGTGTCTGAACATTGCGTAACATTCACAAAAGCTGACTGCATTTTTTCCCCCACTGCTCTTTTTCCGCATCCTCTGAAAATTTACGTAGGAGAGACTTATCCAGATTGCTGCCAGGCCTACTTCTGTGAAATGTATGGCTGTGGGTCTTAATAATAGCAGATTAAAATGGAGGTGAAATAAATGGCTGCATAAAGTAGATTATCCTTAGATTGTCAGTGTAAAGTAAAACAATCTAACAATATGCACCGTGTCGATCAATAGATCCTCCCCTTTGAATTGGAGAATTAAACTTGACTGTAAGCTTAAGAGTTCAGAGACTTTTGAACCTGACTGAAAGCATACAGTCGCGACATCCATCATTAAGGCAGGACTTTCCATTTAAGATGCACGCGGTGAATTCAGTGGTCCCCTTTGAGCTCCGTGTGGCCTTTTGAATTAGTCATGCATGCATGTCAACCAGAGGATGCATCTGCAAATGTCCTACATACCGTGGTTTTGCCGTCCGCCTTGATGCGTGTGTATCACCGGCCTGAGTACGACTGTGGTCTAAGCTGAAGCGGCAGGCTGACAATGGCAGGAAGTGCTGTTTTCCGGGGCTAGTGTGTTTCGTTTAACCCCACTGTAATCCCATGTTTGATTCGCGAGCTTATCGCCGAACGTAAGCCTGGCTTTGTTGGGTTTTTGGGGGAGGGGGCCACATTTTTGGTGAGAGCCAGTAGCCACTTTATCCGTTGGATGAATGAGGTTCTCGACAAACAACAAGGTCCTTTTTTTTTTTTTTTTGGAGGGTTTCTGAGGCGGTTGGGCTTTTAAGCTCAAACTCGCTGACATGGGGGATTGTCAGGTACACTGGTTCTACAGCAAAGCTGATCCCAGATCAGTCGTGGACGGTAATGTTAGGAGCTTTGACGGTGCACATAGTGTTGCGTTAACCGCACCTTCCGTCCGCCTGGTGGTTCGCAGGGCAATTCAGGCCTGGGCTTCAGCATCGCCGGCGGTACAGACAACCCCCACATCGGCGAAGACCCCAGCATCTTCATCACCAAAGTTATCCCCGGGGGAGCGGCAGCCCAAGACGGCCGGCTCCGGTGAGCGCCCCCTGCTGGCTCGTGTCTGCACACACCCTCTCCGTGCCTGCTGATCTCTGTGTCCCAGGACTCATCCGTTCTCCAGCATCTTTCATCAGAGTTTTTGAATGGCTTCTTATTTGACCTACTTCATTTGGGGGCGGCACGGTGGTGCAGTGGTTAGCACTGTCGCCTCACACCTCTGGGACCTGGGTTCGAGTCTCTGCCATGTGCCATTTTGTCATGGGTTTTTTTTCTAAGAACTCTGGTTTCTCCCTACAGTCCAAAAACGTGCTGAGGTTAATTGGAGTTACCAAATTGCCCATAGGTCTGCATGTGTGAGCGTGCCCTGCGATGGGTTGGCACCCCATCCTGGGTTGTTCCTTGCCTTGTGCCCGTAACTTCTAGGATAGGCTCTGGACCCCCCCTGCAGGTACAGGAGATGGATGGATGGTTCTTTCTGAGTTTTTGCCCACTCCCTTTAATCCTCGCATTTTACTCTGAAAGTCGTCTTCCAGTTAAATCCTAATCTTTTAAGTGCGTGTGCCTCTGTGCTCCTCCGCAGGGTCAACGACTGCATATTGAGAGTGAACGACGTGGACGTGCGAGACGTCACTCACAGTAAAGCCGTAGAAGCCTTGAAAGAGGCCGGATCTATAGTGCGGCTTTACGTCCGGAGGAGGAAACCGCACTCAGAGAAGGTGATGGAGATCAAGCTGGTGAAAGGCCCAAAAGGTGAGACGGCTGGCAGAAGCCTCTTCCCGCTGTGCAAAAACCTTTGGGTACGTTCATACTACAATAAATTGTAGTCAAAATTTTCATTCGTTTTTTTTCCCCCCGTTTGTAGCCAAGTTAGTGACGGATTTTCAGTGTCGCGCAAATTAATGAGTTATGCATGTATGGCGTCTCATAGAGTTTGAGCATGGCACTAATGAACACCTGGAGCTAATTAGCCGTGAGGGGGATCGTGTCGTCACTTCAGCCCCATGTGTCCCGTGTCGGACACAATGTAGAGGCCGTTTTAATGATTTCCAGGCCTAGCAGCACCCTGCAGCCTCTATACCACCAGCCCCGATTAGCATGAGGTGTTGGTGTGTCCCATTGTCACGCTGTGTTGTTGATTTCCGAGGTGATGTCATGATGGTGATGTCACAGCCTGTGCTGCGTAATAATGACAGTAGCAGTTATGCTCTGCTCGTTGAGTTTATCGAGCGGTGTGTCAAATCGTCCCTCTCTCGCTCTCAGGTCTGGGCTTCAGCATAGCCGGGGGCGTGGGGAACCAGCACATCCCCGGGGACAACAGCATCTACGTCACCAAGATCATCGAGGGCGGGGCCGCACATAAGGACGGGAAGCTGCAGATAGGAGACAAACTGCTGGCCGTAAGAGGACGCCGCCCATCAGCAGTGACAGGCCGTTCTGAGCTGCGGCCTAAAATCACTGTGTTGGCATCTCACTACTACTGCTCAAGGCGAACTCTAAGAAGGCTATAATATTTTATTCTGATTTGATTCTGATTCTTTCCTTTTCTCTGATGTTGATGGCTGTTTCTAGTAAAAGCGGTTGATCGACATGTCTAGTTAGGATTGAAAGAGATTGAGTGGGGTTAATTTAATGACGTATTGAAGCTGTCATGTGGATTTTAAACTCCGGTCAAGGTGCTGGGGCCCGCCTTCCCGTACGCGGACGTGGAAGCTGTGTGTGTGCGCCCTCTCTGGGGTCTTTGAAGGTCCTGGGTGTGGAAACTGCAGGATCACATTAACTTAGCATCATATTTTCCATGACGCTCCAGCATCAGGCTTTTCTCTGGGGTCTCTAGCCGTGTAATTACCGCGTTAAATCTCTGCTTCTACCTTTATCACGGCATCGCTGGGAAACCAAAGTCTTAGCATCTGGGAAAAGGTCACATTTAAAGTGAACCCAAATTTTTTTTGATAGCGTGCTAGTAGCATGCTGTGAATTTAAATTTTTTTTTCCCCCCCTTCTCTATAATTATCCGTTTGGCAATCAGCGATAATTAACGGCCCGGCTGTGTGTGTTGTTTATGCAGTCAGCTGTGCTGACGTGGGGGCCTGTTTGTCAGTCTCTCTGCTGTCTGTCACCCGTGGCCCGTTTGAAACAGACCCCGAGTCCTGGGGTGCCTTCCTGGCAGGCAGGGCATCACGATTCTGCGCTGGGAGAAAGCGCTCGGATCAGTGGGTCTGCTTCCCGTCTCCGGATCCTGCAATTTCCTCCCACACATTTGTTGGACATTGACGGAATATAAATTAGTCCGTTTTTGTGAACCACTGCAAAAATTTAAAGACAATTTAACTGTTAAACTGATAAAACACCTCAGTAAGTCATCCTATTTTTTTCCTTGATTTATTATTGAAATGTCCCTTCATTTTACCTGACTTCCTGTTTCATCATGCCATCAGTCGAACCCGTGTCTGCCGGGGTGTCCCTGAGTGTCCCCGGCTCGCTTTCCTGTAGGTGAACAGCACTCCCCTCGAGGAGGTGAGCCACGAGGACGCGGTGACGGCCTTGAAGAACACCCCGGACGTCGTGTACCTGAAGGTGGCCAAACCCACCAGTGTCTTCATGAACGACGGCTTCGCTCCCCCTGACATCACGGCCTGTGAGTGTGCGAGCGCCGGCTTTTTGGGAGGGGGCTTTCAGGAGAGGAGGGTGTGCCGTCCTCACTTTTTCATCGCTATGATGTCATCCCTGCAGTAAGCCGCTGATACGTTGCCAAACCTTGGGGTGTTTCATCAGTATATTGAAGCAGTGAATAGCAAATTGAACCATAAGCAAACTTCCTGGAATATGAGCCTTGTGTGTGCCCACCCCCTGCTTCTGATTAGCCGGCGTAAACCTCCCCCCCACCCCCGCAGTGCTTATCGATCCACCATGACTGGCAGTCGCGCCATCATCAGCCCTAATGGCCCCATCGATAATTCACGTCTGCCTGCCGTCCAGCCATTAGCGGCCGCGGCCAACGGCGAGCGCCCCCCGTCCGGCCAGGGAGCTCCGCTTGGGAGCGTGTTTATACCTATGCCATGCAGCACTGGGTGCCGCTGTGCTGCTTCTGCAGTGCTCACTGCGACGCTGTGGACTTGCCTTTAGCCTGTCCCCCTGCTTTTCATGTTAAGCTCTGCATGGTAGCGTCTGGATCACAGCAACGCAGATTTGTTGTTATTTCCCTACAGTCGATGGATTGATGCGCCGGTGAAATTTTGGTCGCCGTCTTCTCAGGAGGGATGTTCTTAGCTGTCAGTATTCTGTCCGCTCTGCATTTATTTATTATTTTTTCTCCTTGTCTTCCCGTGGTTGACAAGCAGTCTCAGGTTTGCTGCTTGAATGACTGCAAAACAAAACTGAAATCCTGGGTGTGTGAATAAGTATGGTGTACACTAGACCAGCCGCTGCCTGATAGGACCCTGGCGGATGAAGTGTGTACCATCACTTCGAGACATTACTGCGTGTCCGGAACACACCGTGTCCTATCTTACATGCCAATCCCTTGAGGCAAGGTGCGTCCTTCCGCACCAAAGGACTTGTGCTTTTTTTTACTTAAGTTCAAGTTTCACAAAGTCAGAAACCATTTTTTACAATGCAGTGCAATGCATTTATTTAGCAAACGCTTTTATCGAAAGCGACATAAAGTTTGAAGTAGGGTGAGACGTTCCCTGGGTCTATTGGGGGTTAAGGGCCTTGACCGAGAGCCCAACGGTGACATCGATGTGCCAACTCTGGGTGTGTGAACCGGCGACCTCGCGATCACGGGGCCACACGCCCCTCCCACAGCTCAAGGGAATAGTTGGGAATAGTTAGTCCCTGTGTTCCATATTCGTTCTCCGGGTGGCTAGTATTTTGCCCCGTTTTTACCTGCGTGAGGCTGCATCCCGCGAATCCGCCGAGATTTTCTGTGGTGAACACAAGCTGAGATCCCGTGGGTGGGGGGCTGGGCACAGACCAGCAGACAGAGGTTGTGGGGAGAAGCAGAAACCAGCAGGCCGAGCTGAGCTAAGCTCCAGCTGCAGAGGCTGCTCTTAAGGCTCCTTTTAATACATTGCGGGGCTGTTTATCAGGCATTCCGTGTCAGAGTGGCGTTTCGGATGAGGAACAGGCACCGTGCATGGGTTCCAGCATGGGAATGCCGCTGATCCAGCTGAGAGGCGTGACAGCAAGAGGCTGTTCGATTCTCACGTTGGATTTCATGGCTTCTCTCACATGAGTTGTGAGTAACCGTGCATTGGGCTGGCTGAGAGCAGAACTGATGAATGAAGATCGAAACCGCCCGTCTTCTCATGTCAAAAACCCATAATCGGGTTCCCGATCCCAGAAAAATTTGCCCTCCGTGCCAGCTGCCCGCCCCACTGGATTATAACCCTCCCCACCACGTCTTCTGATTTTCTGCTGAGCTCATGATTAGAATTTGAATTGCGTGATGTGACTGTATGTTTTATTATTATTATTTTTTTTTTAATTTAACAACTGACCGTCGTGTGAAAGTGAATGCCGTGTGATATTCTTTTTATTGACATGCCTGCTTGACCGTGCCAGAATGTTAAATCAGTCATGTGACACGATCTTCCCTATGTGACATTTGTGTCAATACTGTAATGCAGAAGGGCGTAATCTGGGTATGGATGGTAAGGACATGCCACTACCAGTATTGTGGGAGTACTGTGTGTGTTTAAGGGGGTTGGAGGTTCGGGGCTGATTTGGTCCCTACCGACGTTAAAACAAACCCTACGTCCTTGATGGTAGACATCTTCTCTCGAAGAATCTGAGACTGAAAGCCGCTGATTTTGTTCCAGTGGGGTTGCTGTCAGTTTAGATTTATTACAGGGAATTAAATGATTCTGTGAGCATGGAAGCTTGATGTTGTTTGGCTCCTTTGGTCACATGATCGCCAGAACTGATAGGAGAGACTTCTCGGTGTGACCCTCCCTCACAGCCTACTCCCAGCATGTGGAGAACCACGTCAGCCCCCCAGCGTACCTGGGCCAGCCGGTCGTCACCAACACCACCTCCACCACCTCCACCATGGGGCGCTGCTCTCCCACCCCCCCCAAGGCCCTGGCTGGAGAGGAGGATCTCACACGGTAAGAAAGGGCCACCTTAATCTGCTCTTCAGACTCATGGGGGGATTTTAGCCAAAGGGAATATTTCACCTTTCATCCCGCGACCATCACATTAATATTCCATGTCCTGTCATGGGACAGCAAGGGGGTGCAGTGTGAGCCACTATGACCGGACACCCCCATTCATGTTCTGTCTTTGCTGTATGTGTGTGTGTCTGTCTGTGGGTGGGTGGGTTATGTATGTATTACATTGTGGGGACCAAATGTGATAAAAACCTGTTATTTTGACATTGTGGGGACCATTTCTTCGGTCCCCACAAGGGGAAACTTATTTTTATAAAAATCGGTGTGGAGTTTGCACGTTCTCTCCGCATCCCATGGGGTTCCGCAGGGTACTTCCTCCTTGAATGGTCTTAGTAGGCAATAGCTTGCCTTGTTAGAAGCTGTTGTGTATCTCCTGCTCCCATACTGCTTACACTTGTACCTGGGTGTTCATTAGAAGCTGAGTCTAGCTACTCTTAAGCCTAATCGTCTCCTTAACGGCATGTGCGTTTGCAGTGTGCTGTTTGCAGTGCGCTGTTTGCAGTGTGCTGTTTGCAGTGTGCTGTTTGCAGTGTGCTGTTTGCAGTGTGCTGTTTGCAGTGTGCTGTTTGCCTCACTTGTGGATGCTTTTGTCCAAAGTGATTCTACATATGTAAAATGTAAACGGTTACTCCAGTTTCCTCATGTACGCTAAAGCCATATATTTAGCCTAACTGTCATCTCTAAAGAGCCTATGGCATGTGGGGGTGGCATAGACCCCTACCTGGGACCCCCCCCCCAGGCCTGATGGATGGATGGATGGATGAATGGATGGATGGTTGGATCACCAGTTACTGTTTGACACACAGGTGTCCCTCGGATTTTCTCTCTTTCTTGTCTTGCTTTTCTTTCATAATGACGTTAATGGTAATATTCCTTCACTCTCCCCTGGTGCTATGTTGGTATTTCCTCCACCCCCCCCTTCCCTTTTCACTCTCCTACCACCCCCGCTGATTACACTCCTCACCCCTATCTCCCAGAATCTCTCTCGCTCTTCTGCAGTTTCAGCTGAAATTGAATAGATAGTCATGCAAGATTTATGGAGCTTAATTAATATGCAGAGGCATAGGCTGTAATTTTACTTTATGGGAGTGCGGCCTGACTGGCGGCTCTGAGACGGCCTCCGCTATTGGCTCGCCGCGGAGCACAGCCGCCCCAGGGTGTTCTGCTATCCTTCACAGTGCAGTTGGACTTCACTGCAGACCTGTGAACTTCCAGTGACAGACATCACAACTTTCTGTAGTGACCTTGAGCGGATAGTAATAATGGCGTAATCCCCCCCCCCCCCCCGTAGTCTCTCAGATGGTTTGAACTGGGAGGGGGGCATACCTACCATTCATAGGGTCCTCCAAGCTCAGGGGCAGAGGCCTGAAACTGTTTTGTACGGCCCACAACACGGTCTTCTAACTCACTATTAAATCTGCCCCCCCCCCCAACCCCATCTCACCACTGATCAGTAGATTGTTAACGTTACATGTGTAATAGTTTCCTGGCCCCCTCTCCAGCGTGCTCACATGCCTGGCGGTTTCCATCCCCACCATGTGCTGGGTCCCTGGGCCCTAACCCGGCCGACCACGGGGGTTAATTCAGTCCGACGCCCCTCCTGTTCTGCTGCTCAGAGCTGGCAGGCCATGCATCCAGACAGAGCTGGAATTAAATGGCTTTATTTTGAAACATCTGAGAGGGTGGGGGGGGCAGATGGCCGCAGCCTGGCAAAGGGGACCATGGGCATGAGCAGAGAAGAAGGGAGGAGAGAGACGCAACAAGCTCTGGATCCTGTGGTCAGGAACATCTCGTTCATTTGAAGAGAAATCTGCTCATTCGTAAATAGAAACCTGGCAACACTTCAGTCAGTTTTAAGCTGGCAGATTGAAATTTAGCCCTTTTGCGTCACACGCCAGTAACATTTTTCATAACTAATTCTTATTGACTGACGTTGATAAATGCAATCCGTGGAATTATCGATAAAAATTAATGTGAAGCCATCGGCTCACTGCCGTGGCACAGCGAGCAGATGACGAAAAAGGTAGGTGAATGTGTGGATGAGCCGCTGATTGGTTTCCGGACTCGCCTAATCGGACTTGTTTATAATGCGGCGTGTTTTTATGTCGCGTCATGCTGACATAAAACACGAACTCAAACGCAAACATTCAGGTGCCGTGAAAAGATGACACCTGAGCTTTCGTACCCTGGGTTATGTCAAGCTGAGGTTAATGGAGCATTTATAAACTGAGAAAGTCGTCAAGCCGCCAGAGCTATTTAATATCTTACTACGCTGCAGCCCTGGCCTGTGCTGCCCTCTACAGCTTGCTGAGGTGCATTACAACTCCATGGCTCAGTCTGATGTTAGGGGTGTGTGCTGAACATGTGCTTTCACTTTGACTCTCTGATACCTTATTGACAAATTATGAAGATTGACAAATTGAGGCTTAAGTTACCATGCAGTGTCTGGACAAACGGATGGGAACACACCTCTTAATCATTGAATTCAGGTGTTTCATTCAGATGCATTGCCACCCTTCTAGTGTGGTACTGTCATAGGATGCCACCCTTAAAATCAGATCGTGAAATTTCTTTTCTGCTAGATATTTCATGGTTAACTGTAAGTGGTATTATTGCAAAGGGGAAACATTTAGGAACAACAGAAACTCATCCACGAAGTGTCAGTCCATGTAATGTAACAGCGGCCGTATAGTGCGTAAGAGTCACCAGCCCTCTGACTCGATTAATGAGGACTCCCAAACTGCCTCTGCTATTAACCTCAGCAAAGAAACTGTGCACTGGGAGCTTCATGGAATGGACTTCATGGCTGAGCAACTGCATGCAGACCCAGCAGATAATGGAATGGGGTAGTACTTCAGGAGTTGGGCTAGGCCCAAATGGTCCAGTGAAGGGAACTCGGTGACCAACTCCATATTGATACCTATGGATGGGATGTCATAAAAGTTCCCATAGGCTTAAGGGCAAAGTTCCCCGATACTTTTGTCTATAGAGTGTACAGTACATGTGGTTGTTGAGTTATTACACTGTTCTGTCCACTAGGTGGGGTACTTGATCACGTTTTTTCCTGTTTTGAGAATAGAAAAAATGAAATAGCAAGATATTCAGATTTTTCTTGGTATATATATATACTAGGAGTTTAAAAAGAATTATTGTATGAGCGGATAAAGGAACCGAGTCCTTGTTATTGTTGCAGGGGGGGTCAGTTGTAATGTTTTTGTTGTGGTGTGTAGCTGTGGGGTGATATTGGTGATTGCCTGGCCTCGTGCTGAGCAGCCTTGTGACAGACGCACGCCACCCTCTGATCCGTAGGGAGCCCCGGAAGGTGGTGCTGCATCGAGGCACCACTGGGCTGGGCTTCAACATCGTGGGCGGTGAAGACGGAGAGGGCATCTTCATCTCCTTCATCCTGGCCGGGGGGCCGGCTGACCTGTGTGGGGAGCTGCGGAAAGGGGACCGCATCGTGTCGGTATGAGCAACAACACCCCCCCCCCCCCCCCCCCATTGTTACCCGAGTAACGGAGCCCATGATGGACAATATCAAAGCACTGTGTACAATTGTGAGGACACTCACTTTATGAATGAAGATCCATTTTGAAAAGAACCATTTGACCAATGTTTTTTGATAGTGTAGGCAGAATCCATAAATCATTGTAATATTGCTGTATCGGTACATTACCTGCGGTGTAACAGTTCTATCTACTCACAATTCTGTTCCATAGATGACTGTTTGATACACTCACAATATATTCAACAAAATGAATCTGTACTATCTTACAGTTCTTATTCCTTTTAGGCATGTATATTTGCAAAAAAACACTGTTTTTAGATCATTTCTTTTTTTTTTTCCTTGCAGTTTTTTCAGTGCAAAATATAAAAATAAAATCTCAAAGCAAAACTGAGATTTTGCCTCTGGAATTTTAATAAGTTGAAGTACTATGCATTGTTATGCCCCTACAATGTGTATCATCATGTTTTTGAATCGTGAAATATCGTGCCATGGTGAATTGTTACACCCCTGTTACCCATTTGCAGCAAACAGTTGTCATTATTTACAGCCGGAGGTCAAGTAAAGATTTTACGCCTGTTACTTAAATATTCTTTGGTCGGTGATAATGTCTGACTTAAGATGAACTGAAAAAATCTCAGTTCCTAAGCCGTATTCACCTAGGGTCTCCTGTAATGTTTCTGTGGTCATGTGACTGCAGGTTAACGGGGTGGACCTCCGCAGCGCCACCCACGAGCAGGCCGCAGCTGCGCTGAAGAACGCGGGTCAGACAGTTACCATCGTGGCGCAGTACAGACCCGAGGGTGAGTTCGACTTAGTCTCCGAGGCAAGCGTCAACTCTTAACCCTCGCAGCTCAGCTCAATTGGCGGGAGGCAGCATTCCATGAAGGTGTGGCGTACTCCGATTTCCTGTCAGCGCCCGGCATTAAGCGATGACACCTACGATGTGCGAGAGCGTGCAGCCGAGAGCTTGTGAGAGCCGCTCTCCTCAGCTGGAAATAGACACGAAATGCGTCGGCCAGGGACGGCACGAGCCGGCGACGTTTCCATATTTTGGAAAGGTGCTGTCTTCACTGAGCATGCTCAGTGTGTGTAGCCTGTATGCTGTACAGAGGCAGTGAGCTGGGCTAACTCATGGTGCAGTAGGATCTCCAGAGGTTTTGACTGTATGCACCGGAGGGCCTCTCTCACTGACAAAGTTCCGTTTAGGACCCAGTGAGGCTGTCCCTTTACCCCCTCACAGCCAGTAGTGCTGATGTCACTGTAGGCCCCTCCCTGCCGCCTGGCTGGACTCTCCCTGTCCCTGATTGGCTGCTTATTGACCTTCTTTACCCTGCGTACCCAGTAAATCCTGAAGCATGTGCAGAAGGAGTCCGTGTGTATGATATGTCTGTCAACTCTGCTGTCATAGCAACTATGTGAACAGTAGACCTCGGTATTGGCTTGATTAAACTCAGAGCTAGTAATGTGCGAATGAACCATTTGCTGTATTTTTTGACCCCACTAGATGGTGCTCTTGGTTTGCTTTTGGGCATTTAAGTCCTTTCATAAATGGTGAGCAATATCTAGTAGGGTCAGAAAATGCAGGAAATAATTCATGAAGCTTCATTTCACCATTACTACTCAGAACTTAAGTGAACCTAAAATATGCCGATTGCAGAGATCACCGATTTTAGTAGAAGTACCTTTGGTCCGAATTTCGGCCACGCGTCTTTTTATAAGCCTCTAGCGGATTTGCCCACCAGTTTCCTTGGATTTTGGCAGGTCCTATTGCTCCTTCAGGTTGCATGGGGTTTGCAGATGCACGTAAGCTTTCATGTCACCCCTGTAGATTCTTCGTGGAGCTCAAGTCACAACCGATTGCTGAAACGTACGTTCGTAATTAGCGCGGTTGCTGTAAAAGCACTACCGAAGTGGAATATTAGAGTCTTGAGAAACACATGTAAACATTTTCTCGAAGACAGAAGTGGCTTCTTTGGCTTCCTGTTGTGCTGGTTGTGTTCCAGCTGCCAGCCACACCTGTAAGGGTGAAAGGCTCCTAATGTCTCGCGGCTGATTTAGTGGATAAGTAATCGAGAGGCATAGTTCTGTTTTTAATGGAAATAGGGCTGATTTGCTCTGCTGTTCCACCCCTGATCAGTGAGGAGGAGGGTTTTCCTCGTGACTCTGATGACGCACGGGAACAGTCACCCCGTCTGCATGATTTAATGTGACCCTGTAAATATAGACACAATCCCATGCGGACACCCTGCCCCGTGTTTTCAGTTGTAGCTCCGTCAGCCAACCTTTCCCGCTTACGAGCTGCTCGAGCGTTTGACCGAAATAGCAAGCGATGAAAATAAGTTACTTATGTGCAGCGTGCCAAACCAGCACCGCTTAGCCATCTCGCTCTTTCGTAACGGTCTTTCGTAACCCTAATCTGTAGCCTAATCAGACGCACGCCCTGTGTGGTTCTAATCAAAGTATTTAGCCACTGTCTTTTCTGACATTGGCAGCGGTTCACGGCCGCCGCCCAAACACTTGATCATAAAGACGTACGACGTGTCCTGCGCAGTCTCAGCTCAGCGAGAGTTGCCAGTTTGTATGAATGGAGCATACTTTGAATTTCGGTCTGTTCCCTGGCTAGCAGTATGCGGTACGATACTTTCTATCAATGCCAGATGACAGCAGCATACACCCAATGATGCTTACAGTAGCGATTGTGAGCATAAACATCACATAAAGTGTCTGACGACATTTTTTTTCTATTTTAACCCCATTATGGCCCATTATGCCTACTAAATGCCCAAGTGTGTTGCATTTACGATATTTTCAGCTGATGATGGGTTCATCAGAACGTTACCCCATTGGAAGTCGTGGAGCGTCTGTTAATGTATGCAACATTCAATGCAATCCTTTCACGTACCTATAGGTGTCGCTGTTGCTTTTCAGAAAAACAACTGGCATTTCAGCTACGTGTTGATTTTAACACGTAGCTGTTATTATTTCCTACCTAACTTCATCTTTATATACGAAACAGAAAATAAATTCACTTTATTTTAAGTTGGTAAGTATGACCTAGAAATCTGTTTCTGTGCTCGGGGGGGCACCGTTTATTATGTTATTACCTTATTATTAATGTTTCAGTGCATCGCCATTTAAACCATGTAAAAGGCTGGAAAAGCTTTGCAACCTGCATCGTAATGTTGCGTGACAACATGACATCGCTCGACTCATTTCAGGCTGGTGGCTGGCGAGTTGAGTTTTTTTTTTTTGATAATTAGGAATAATTAACAATAAGATATGTTGATATTGTGCTCCCTGCTCAGCCCCAACTCCATCCCCACCCTCCCTGACTGTTGTGTAATGAGTGCCGCTTACCATAAATGGCCCTCCTTCACTTGAGGAAGTGATGTCAGGGCAGGCCTGGGCCTGTGATGGGAACACAGATGCACAGCACTATGGGAGCAGGGCTGCCATCTGTGACTGCTGGGCTGACCTTGTGCTCTCCGCGGACGCTCCGTCGTGCTCGCTAGTTTTGCCAGCTAAGCTTCACCGGGGAAATCGCTGCTAGCCGTTAGCTTCGATGGCACATTCGGAAAGGGACACGTTAAAGTATCTCTGGGCAGCAGGTGACACTGCAGTTAGCAGCTCCTGTCTACCTGAAGGCAGTGGTTTGACATTGAGGAGCCATTCTGTCATACTGTTAAACAAGGCAGTTAAGTTGCATGAATTATAATGCAAGTTAGGGATGCCCAAGGTCTCGATTATATGCCGCATGCGCAGTAATCACCAGCGCTTCAGATGATGCCCGTAAACATTCGTCCAGGCACCAGGTTTTCGGTCCTATATGGACATTTACTTACCCCCACAATTTGTTAAGCAAATTAGTAGCGCACATAAAACATCAATGAGAAGCGCATTCTGATGCCCAAAAGTTAGTAATCTGTATGAATTCGGCGTATCCTTATGTTTAATGAACATGTCTGACTTTGAACTGCAAAAAGTACCGTCACACCATCGATATCTTTTTGCCTTGTTTATCCACCATATCCCATCTTTCAAAAGATATCATGCCTCCTGATCCGTCCCCTAATTCACCGCCACTCTAGTGCTTATTGCTTCCATGATACCAAAACAGTAGCATGTGGCGCTCTGATAACCGAATGTAATAAGCGTAAGAATACGCCAAATTTATACGGATCGGTAACTTCTGGGCGTTACAGTACAACTCTCAGTAATATTTACGTGCATTACTAATCTGCTTACCTATTGAAGGCGTAAGTAAGCATCCTTATAGTACTGAAAAGCCAGCATCCAAACACACGTTTACGCCCGTCATCTAAAGCCCTGGTGATTATTCTGCATGTGCCATATAATTGCGATTATATCACGATGTGGTATCATGCCGCCCTAATTGTACGTCCATTTAGATCAGTATATGAAATTTTACAAATTTTTGGGGGGCAACTTTTGCCCCCACTGTTTAAAAAATGAGGGCATTTCCGAAATTTTGGAAACACTTTTTAAAAATGCATGCAATTATTATTATATGACGTTAGTTTTTGATGTGAAATAAGCCTAAATTAAAATACATATAGTACTGACCAGACAGTATTAATGCCTTTTTTTAAACTGTGTTAAACAGTGTTTTTAGAGCTGTAAATGCAAACTGTTTACTTCGCCAGAGTAAAACAAATGTTGCAGATTTTGATATAATTAACCTATGAACTGTTCAGCAATGTTATAAAACTAAATGAAACAAGTACTGGTTATCCTTTGTCTCCATCAGCTACCCCGTGTGATTATTACTGAACGGTTTGATATTCAGCTGTGAACTCTGGGAGTCTGTGCAACATGACAACAGAAGCTCTCACGTCGTTTACCTCCAGGAAGGAATACTGTTGGCTTTAGCACATAAAAGTACCAATATAAATGGTATTGTTATCCTACATCTTGTTTTGGAAATGTTTTGATATACTGTGAAAATTCAGTATTCTGCTCTAGGCGACAGTAAACGTTGTCGATGGGTGTGTGGGGAACCATGGGTAAACGGGCGATGTGTAGCCACGCCCCTTCCAGAGTTCAGCTTATTTATTTTTGGATATATGTCTTAATTAAAAAATAAAATTGGCTTCTGGCAGGTAACAGCATTACGTAGTAGTATGTAGTTACAGCTGCATGTTACATAAAGTTATGTACCTCTGTAGTGTGAACAACAGTGCTTTTTCAGTGTTAAAGATGGAAATTAAATTAATAGAAATAAAATGATGGGTTAATGTAGGATTAGGGTCTGGGTTTTACTGGTAACAAACATTTTTGCCCCTAAATCACAGCTTTTAGGGGCATTCTGAGATTTCTTGGGGCATTTTTGCTTTTTGCCCCCGTTAATTTACGAGGTTGCTTTAAAAACACTCAAATGTGGGTCCGAAACCCAGACCGTGTGTCCTTGTGTCTTAACTGGTTTAGCCCAAATGGCCCAAATGCAGGCCCTGGCGCTGGTCACTGGCACTGGTCACTGGCGCTGGTCACTGGCGCTGGTCACTGGTGCTGGTCACTGGCACTGGTCACTGGTGCTGGTCACTGGCACTGGTCAGTTTCGGTACCTCGGTTTCTGTGACTCACGCTTAGTGTAAGCCCAATGGCGACAGATGTAAACCCCCCTTGCCCCCCCGGTCAATGGCAGCAGATATGGCCTGGGCAACTCGTGCTTGACCCCCCCGCTCCATTATGCATGGGGGAGAAATGAGTCTTCATGCGGTTATTTACACGGCTCTGAATTTAAACCAGTATCCGGGCCTGGTGCAGGCTCCCGGTGCTGAAGGGATGCGACAGTGTGATTAAATCGGGCTTAAGGGTTTAAGGAGAATGGGGGGGGGGGGCAGGCAAATGGGAAAGCAAGGCGTGTGAATCCGTCACCTGCATAAGCACCGCGAGCTTCCTGTTTTGGGGGGGGAGGGCACACGCCGCCACTTTGATCAGAAAAGTGCGAGCTGTCAACGCTAAAACCGAGAGGTGGCAGGCTCTGCGTTTCGCGTCCCCCCCCCCCCCCCCCAAGAAGCCATCGCCATGACAGCCTGGGGACTGGCCATTAGCATTAGCACTGCGGGGGAGTCTCGCCCTGCGCCCAGTGGGATATGTGAGCGGGTGCATGCTAACTTCCTGCGGCTAACACTAACGCCGCGGCATGCCGTCACCCCGTCGGCAACCTCGTGAGAGGCATCGCGTACGAACTGGGCGCAGATGAGACAGATGGGCCTTTCTTTCTAAATATGGAGGCGTCATGTGACTGGGATGAATCAAGGTGCAATGACACCAGGCCCGGAACGGAGCCCGAGTCACGCGGATCCTGTCAGCTTTGAAGTTTGGACTCCGGGGAGGTGCTGAGCGCAGATTACAGACCTTCCGGTGGCGCTGTGGACAGCCATGCCCCCGCGCCCCAGGGGAGGAAATCCGTAAGAGCATCACCGCATATGCGGAGTGGGGCGTCTCCGACATTTCCAGCGCTCGATGCTGACATTTGAGAGTGGACGTGCTCCTCAGAACCCGGCCCCTGCTTGCTCCTGCCGCTGACCATGGGAGACAATGGCTCTGTCTCATCCTTTGCGGTGTAGTACCCATTGTTCCAGAGTGAGGAGTGCAGCCCACCTCTGTGCGCAGGACAGGGTCACATGCCCCGTGTTCGTTTGTGTGCTTAATAGTTTTTTTTTGCTCTGGAAACGGGTCGTAACCGGGTCTGTGCAGCAGACAGGCCTTATTTGTGGCTCAGCTCCCCTGACACTACGCTCTGACTCCCCACCCTCGCGCCCGCCCCTCGCCACCCTGACTCCCCACCCTCGCGCCTGTGAAAACATAGTGATGTTTAGCTGCCATTTGACACGTGCTGCCGACATTAGCCGAATAATGAAATGTTGTGGCTGCTTTGTAGCTTGTAACTGTTTGACCAGTGGAACCTGCCCCCCCACCCCCAGTGAGCCATGAGTACATATTTAAGCTGAGGCTGCAGTTCACACCCTGGGAGAGCTATGCTGCAGCTGGAGTGGGTTTTTCTAGTGTTGAGGTTCCCGTTGTATTTTTTAACGTAGGCAGTATTTAAGGGACTTTCATGGGCCCTGGCAGGCTGAGTGCTGTGCAGAAAGCCCCCCCTTACCGAGGGACTAGCACGCGTGATCGGGGTGTTTCTTTCCCCCTTCCCCCCCCCTTCAGGGCACCAGGGCTGCTCTCGCCTCACTGGGTGTCTCTTCACCCCACGTCCCGAAATGTGCAAGAACACCGCTTTGTCGTCCTCCCTAGGGGAGATACCCAGATAGCAAACGGAGCGTGCTGAACACACGCATACGTGCGATCGCACGTGTGCGCACACACTGTGCCCCAGGCCCTGTGGCTGCAGCACTGTGGCTTCCTGGTGCCCTTATGGGACCCAGCGTGAAGCCTGCAGCCCTGTTGACTGAATTATTATTTAATCACTGCCACTTTAATTAAACCGACAGGAGAAATGACGCCAGAGCCGGCATCCGGTGAACGTCCCTCGTCCTGATCGCTTACTGTGGCGCCTGCTGCTGCAGGCCTTCCATGGCCTCCCCTGTCTTTGCGGCGGTCAGGGATCGGGTCGCGGGCGGCCGGACCCGCCCTCACCCACACCGCAATCGGCGCCTGCTGCTGGAGGCCTTCCATGGCCTCCCCTGTCTTTGCGGCGGTCAGGGATCGGGTCGCGGGCGGCCGGACCCGCCCTCATCCACGCCGCAATCGGCTCCTGGTGGATTTTCGGGGATTCGGTGCCTGTGCTCTTCCTGTGTGTCCCCGAACCGTAGCAGGGAATAGGCGCTGTCAGACGCTTCGGGCTGGTGGACGGGCTGAGCGCCGGTGTCCGTCAGCGGCTGGTGACTGGCACATTGCCCCCACGACGCTCCGTGACCTTTTCCCGCCTCCGTCGGTCCCATTAGAGTACTGCATGAAGCGGGGTTTCCACTGCTTAATATGCATGTGTTTTTTCCTTTTCTTTTTTAACATCCATGAAACCCCGCTTCTGTGTAACAGAATATGCCGGAAAGGTTCTATGCTTTTTGGGACCCCCACCCCCGCATCCCACCCCCTGTGTTTAGAAGGTCTCTGCTCCTCCTGAGAATGTTGTTTACCCGAGTTAAAAAGGACGATGCCGATTAATAATTCTGCTCTCCCTATATTACCGAGCGTGAGCTAGCTGTACCCTGGAGACGGAGACAGAGCGCATGATGGCTGATGGGCTGGTTGGGGGTGGGGGGGGATGCCTGGGTCTCACCGGTTGCTCTCCTCCTGCCTTCCCCGGAGCCCAACCTTGCTCTCTCATGACCCGCTGGAGAACACCAAGCTCTAAATGCTAATGAAAGCAGCTCCTGGCCCCCTCCCTAAGTTAAAATCTGCAGAAGACGTGCGAGTTTACCCAGGGGGTGCAGGTCGGCGGTGGTAGTTAAGCTTCTCGGTCGGGTAATTAAGTGAGCGACGAAGAGCGTCAGACGAAGGACAGGAGGAACCGATGTGAAATGGATATCGGGTGTAACACAACACCGGGGCTATAGTGGAGCACTGCTTGTCCTTTTTCCCTGCCATTTGCGTGTGTCTGTGTCTGTGTGTGTGTGTGGGAGAGGGGGGGAGTGAGGGAGAGAGAGAGAGATAGATAAAGAGCACGTGTGTATGTGTGTTTTTTTTTTTTTGGTACTGTTGGACGGAGTATAAGTGTGCTGTCCTGGAGCGTGTTGCCTTGAATAGAGGTTGCTGCTGGGGGGGGGGAGGTTGCAGAGGGCGGGCTCTCCACGGTGAGGTCCCCTCAGCGTCTGTCTGTCACACGGCTCTTCTGGAGGTTCTCGGGGACAAGCAGGGCGCCAGGCAGCATCGGGACACGTCACACGGCTGAGGTGCAGGGCGCTTACACGCGCACGGCAAACACGCGCACACACGGAGTGCGACAGAGCGGTCCGACAGAGTGCAGCCAGTGCGTCCTAACAGGAGCCCTGTGAGTACGGAGCGCCGTTCAGAGGGACGGGGGGGGAGGCAGAACTGGGGGGGGATCCAGCGGGTTTGTGTTCTTAATGACAGCGTCGGTTTGCAGGCTGCTTCTCCGCTTACTTTGCGGTGGTCCGGTGAATAGTGGCACTCTGGCGGCTGGAGGAATGCCGCGAGTGCTGGAGTTTAACGGGGAGCGATCCAGCGGCTCGGTTCATTAGCGCACTGTTCTCTGCTTATTCTGTCACATGGGGGGCGTCACCACACGTTAGGCTGATCGGAGAAACACTGGCTATCGAACACTCAGCGTTGAGTGTATCAAAGTGACCTTAAAGTCCTTTTTCGGCATTTTCTGTCGTTTCCCTCCTTTTTTGATGCCGATTTGGTCTCATGTCCGGTCCACCGGACTTGGCCAGGGACGTTTCCTGGATTTGGTGAGCCGTGAACGGTTCTGTGCTTCCGTGACCTACAGAGTTGTCGTCACGCCCGAGTGGAGAGCTGGGAGATGCCGGATGAGCGTGATCCCACATCCTCATGTGCGGGTTTCCTGTATGTTTGTCCGGATCTATGAAGGGACTCTCCCCTCGCATCAGGATCATCAGTATCATCAATGTAATAGAATTGCCCCCCCCCCCTCCTCGTGTGTGTTGTCGGTCGTTTTCTCCATCAGACGTGGGCGTCTCGGACCAGCGGAAGCTGCTGGTGAGCTTTGTGAATTTGGCTTCGTCCTGCTGTTTTGGTCCAGTCCATGTGCACTGAGCACAGGGTGCGGGGGGGGGGTGAAGCAGCTGGGTCTCCTGATCCCCTCCAGGACCGTGGGGGTTGGGGGGTGCGCGTGTTGGGGGTGTTTTAACCCTTTCGGTTCTCTTCCGTGCCTCATATTTATTTGTGCTCCCCCCCCACATCCCCCCCCCCATTATTTGCAGAATACAGCCGGTTCGAGGCCAAAATCCATGACCTTCGGGAGCAGATGATGAACAGCAGCATCAGCTCCGGGTCCGGCTCGCTGCGGACCAACCAGAAGAGGTCCTTATATGTCAGGTGAGAGAACTTACCCCGATCCCTGCCAATTTCGAAAACTGAAAAATGTATCTAAAGCAGTGTATCCTTATCCGGTCCTTGGGGACCCACAGACAGTCCATGTTTTTGCTCCCTCCTAGCAGGAGCTGGGTGGGAGCAATAATGTTGACTGTCTGGTAGGAAGCTCGGAGGGAGCAAAAACATGGACCGACTGTGGGTCCCCGAGGACCGGATTGGGAAACACTGATCTAGAGCATAACAAATTAGCAGTAGCCAGTCAGGCGTCTGCCGGTCCAGCTGCGGGCTCTGTGGCACCACTCAGACACAAGCCCTGGTTTGTTAGGCTTCCATCTCCATCTTCCCTGTTCTGGTACTTTCTGTCATTAAGGCGGCACGTGGTTCATGAGGTAAGACGTGTCCGAAACGCGGCTGACCCAGACCGTCAAAGGCGCCCGCATCACTGTGATGTCACTGCTTGTCCATTATGCAGTTTGTTCACCTGACACCTTTATATGATAGGTGTGCTTCACAGTATGGAACTGGGCCAGAGCTGTCGCTCATTCAGCTCAGGGATCTGGACGGGATTGACTGCATAGGTGTCTGTTGCTATAAATGGTGAGAGAAGCCATACAAATGTTGATGAGTCGCCCTTCTTCGGTCAGTGATTCAGTAAACCCCTTACCGCGTCGTTTTCCCCCCCCCCGTCACTTATGGCCACGCCTCAGTAGTACCCACTCTGCCCTGCCTCCTTTCCCTCCTGTTTCGCTCTGGACATCCGCTTTTTTTCCACTGGTCTCAAGGACACTTTCATTTCAAATGCTCTTCATTCATGCACTTGTGCAGAGACGTCGTTCAGAAACACAGCGCTCGTTCTCCGTCGCTCCGTCTCTCTCCAACCTATTTCCGGCTCTTTCCGAAAGACCTTCAGCCACGAGGAGAAGCTTGGCCCGTCGCCTCATTACAAGTGCTTGTGTTTTTTTTTTTTAATACCCTTTAAGAATTTTTTTCTGTTATCTGCAGTTGCCTGTTTACAAAGCTTCACATATTGCAGAGAAGATTTGACATGACGTGTGATCTCCTTTGTCAACTTGTCACATCAGGCCTTTTGTCTGCCAGAAAATGAGTCGTCTCCGCAGGAACCCTGCCTGTGATCCGCTACGTACAAAATGAATAATTCATACACGTGTAGCTGTCCGCTGTTTTTCACTATCGCTCACGGCTGAGGTGATGCAGCCTGGTCAGCTTGCTGAAGTGTTCTGATATGTATTACTTTTTTTGGAGGCTGGTGACCTCAGAGTGGATCCAGTATAGTTTCATTTAGAGCCAGGAGCGTTACGGCATTTCAGAATATCATCCTCTGTAATACCGCAAACTGGAATGAAAGCGGGAGCCTCTCTCCCGAGCCGTCCTGGCTTCGCGCCCCTCGATGCTGGAGAAATCGCCGCGAAACATATACGAATTTCTGTCGTCTTACGGGAATGGAAAAATTTGAAATCTCCTTAAAGTTCTAATCCGCACAGCCTGTTCTTAATGTCAAATGGTCAGATGCTTCTCCGAAGACGGCTCGCTGACATAAATACGCCTCCTCCCCACCCTAAATAATTATTTGGTTTCTAAATGTCAGCTATATCTGAAATGACGAGAAAATACGTATATATTTCCCCACCCCTTCCTTGCGTGGTGTTTACTTCTCTGTGCTTCTGTTCACCTCTGCTGTTCAAATCCAAATTAAAGCTTTTCCTTTAATTTGCGAGCGTGAGTCTTAATCTGTTTGCCTTCAACAGCTCCGTTCTGTACGGGTCAGCAGTCCAGACCTGAGTCTGTCCGAAATTTGGGTTTGGGGGGTTGTGCTTGATGCACTAGTTTTTAGGGTCATTTTCACTCTGCCCCCCTCCGATTCCACATTGGTGCGAGTGATCAAGAATTACGGTCGTAAGGCCAGCAGGGGCCGAAACCTCTCGGGGAGGGGGGGGTCATGTGTCTCCTGGGAAACGGAGGCCCCTGGCTTCATGCAGCCCCATGCTGCATCTGAACTGAAGGATAAAGAGTAGATATGATTCGTTTAATAGAACTTAAACTGCTCTGCCGTGAGATGTGAACCCGTATGTTATATCCAGGAAACCAGTGTCCAGTGACTGTCCTTGGGTGGGCAGGGATAACGTCTGTGCTGTTTTTTGCTGATTTCACAAGGTATTTTCAAGCTTGTCCTCTGCTACAGCTTATTATAATGGAACTGGCTTCCTAACGCTGCTGTAAGTGATTAAAGTTTAAAGGGGTATATAGTAGAGATTCACAAAATATCAGCTGACCTGGGTATCTGCCGATGGGTCAGATTTGCTCGCTATTGCTGTCCAGTGTTTAGATATGGTTCAATATTCAAAGCTAGCAGCACCAGAGTTAGACATGACTGAAATAAGGAAAACAATTACATCGGACAGTCGGGCATTTTCCGTAGTGGAGGACGAGGGATTTCGTCGGCTGATTCGGCGCTTAGGACCTCGCTACAGTCTCCCAGGTCGATGCTACTCCGCTGATGTCTCACTGGCTGAGTTATACGATGTGGCTGCTACACAGATTCACGAGATCTTAAGAAGGAACATCACCGACGTCGGTTTTACTACAGGTGTGTGAAGCTTAGAGATCAGCCGGTAATCAATATCGGTAATGTTAGGTGGAATTTATCGGTTTTTGGTATTGGCCGAACGTTCCACATTGCGGCATCGTTGCTTTACATACCGTTGATGCCGGTTCATGTGTCCCCACAAGTCTACGTTTACACTTTAGTCATGTGGATTACATTAAAGGATGTTAGCCGGAGGTCTGAGTGTTGCACACCTTGCCTGCATGTTCCGCGTTCCCTTCAGCCTGACTTCCTGCAGTTTTAGCTGAACAGGCTTGTGGTTCTGCATGCCATAGACCCTCTTATGTCCTGGCGGCTGATTTAACCCAATAATGTTTTTAAAACCAGTGTTCCACAACAGTCATGACTTGGTGATGTTTTTTTTTTTTCCTCTTTAATTTTCTGCTGCTTGGGGTACAGATGTCTGAATGTGTGACCCTTGTCTTCTGGGGATAGCTCGTGCTCTTGTTTTGTTTTTGCATTTTAAAGTATATTTTATCATCTGTAATTATTTCAGGCTTCAGGCATCTCGGTTTTAATGTTAAAAATGACGCGTTTTCTGCAGAATAGTACCGTCCTGATACATGCGTGGTGCACTTTCATTTCCGCCTGAGAAATGCACTGTGTGCATGGCTGTGCCTCATAACCGCTGGGTGTTTCCCCCCTTGTTTGTTCTCTCCCCGTTTACAGAGCGTTGTTTGACTATGACAAGACGAAAGACTCCGGGCTCCCCAGCCAAGGCCTGGACTTCAAGTTCGGGGACATCCTGCACGTGGTGAACGCCTCCGACGACGAGTGGTGGCAGGCGCGGCAGGTCACCCCCGACGGGGAGGTGGAGGAGATAGGCGTCATTCCCAGCAAGCGAAGGTCAGCCCCGCCCACACCCAGCCGTGCACTGACCCCCCCCCCGCCACACCCCACCCCTGCATTCAGGGGCTGTGCTGCGCCTTGCTAAGGCTGCTTTTGTAGACAGAAATCGTCACGGCGGTGCGACAAGAGCATTCGAAGGCCCCTTCAAATGCAGTGTAGAAATGTGTCCTCGTGAAGGATCTGTCCAGTGCCTACAGATCCCAGGATTCATTGCACAGAGGTGAAGTGGGCATGTCCCGGCCAGGCAATAGAAGTGTGGCTTCATGACTCAAGGGCCTCAGCTGGTGACGCAAATAGGAAATAATGCGTAGGCCAGACCGTCCCATTTGACCACGCTTTCTGTTCGACCTTCGAGGAACGCAGCCTGTAAAGGCCACTCCTTCGTAGACCGCGTCCTTCGTAGACCGCGTCCGTCGAAGGATGCAGCCCCTGAACTCGGACACGATCACTGTGGACACATTGAAGCTGACCTGAAGTCCAGTTGACTGACCGAGGAGAAACGGAGGAGAAACCCAAGACATTAAATGGTGGCTGAAGTTCCAGCCTGCTATCTGTTGCAGTCTTGGGGTAAACAGCAAAGCCCCCACAGCCATGATGGCGGACAAACCTGCTTTTAAATGAGACTTTAACTCCATTAAGCAAGAAATATTCCAGTGGACTCAGGAGAACAGAATAAGGTTTTGTGTATTGAAGCTGTTATTAATATTTAAAGTCATTTTTAAAAATGGTTTAACTAAAAATACTTGACCAGGGTCTAATTTATTCCTGTTAAGTAAGGAAAATGTTGTTCACTATGTCAGCGACTTCTGAGGTATGAGTGAAATCTTGCAGGGAATGCGCTTCAGAATGCGACGGGAAGATACCTATTTATCGTTTGCAGCGCAAGCGTCAGATTACCCATGAGCCACTGCGGCTCTGTACCTAGACCAAGGTTCCACCCAGTGGGCTTTAAATATTTAACGTGGCTCCTCGTGTTGAGTTACTTGCGCTCTTCCTCGGAATTCAAGCCCCTTTTGTGCTCCCCGGTGTCAGATTTCCCTTCCATTTTCGTCCGGGTCGATGATGCCCTGTCATGTGACCCCACTTCCTTCACCCAGCCGTGTGTCATGACACTGCAGCAGAATTAGAACGTGAATGACAAAGCCCTTTAAATCACATGCTGTTTTGTACGTGAAGTATTACCGAATACTGTTGAATTAACCCAATACATTGGGTTAATTTTGCTAAATTATCAGTTTAGTACTACGGGTTTTTTTGCAGTTGCATAATTAGGTATTTAGCAGAGATCCGTACTTAAATGAATCTCAGCATGAGGCCGATAGCCTTTGAAATTCAGGTAATAGCCTTGGTTGATGTGAGGCGGTTACCGTGGAGACCGCAGTACCATTGTAGTGTAATGTGTGCCTGTCCCAAGCTGGTGTGAGCTTTGATGCGAGCAGAAACAGCTGCACGCTCTTTCATGTCGTCGGAGGTCATCCCAGGTCCCCCCTGCCAGTCAGTGCTTCTCTCTTTTTTCAGTCACACTAACCGCTGTGCTTTTCTCTTTGGACTAGATGTTCGTACAGATGTTTGAAGTCTAGAACTGAACTGGCTTTTAAATATGAGCAGTTCGGTAATAAAAGGTTGTTACTGTGTGATGTTCCGAATGTGTGTGGACGTTCTCATTGTGCATCTGTAGGTTTTTTTCAGATGCTGTCGTTTTTCACAGAGCCGTGATTTTCCTTCTCGCTCAGCAGTTGCGTTGGGTGATTTTAGATGAGGTGATGGATCATAGAAGCTGGATTTTTCAGCCGGCTTGGTTTAATATCCAAGGATTACTCACATTATGGGCATTTAGGATATGCAGTAACCATCACGACACTGACCTCAACTGCTCTTTGTTCCCCCCCATCTTTTGGGCTGTAGGGTGGAGAAGAAGGAGAGAGCTCGGTTAAAGACGGTCAAGTTCAACTCCAAATCGCGAGACAAGGCGGTGAGTATCTGCAAACCATCTCCCTGTGCTGCTGACAGAGAGGATGGCAGATATTAGCATAACAAGGAACGGGAGGGGTTACCAAATCTAATTAAAAACGGTGTTAGGATGTACTGATTAAGTTTTTGGATGAATGAGATTACTTAGGAAGCGCGTCATACCGTGATGCTCTTTTGGTAAAGAAATGTGCTGAAATGTTGTGGGGGATTGTGGGTATGGTCGATGTCCCACGCTAAGTAGCTCGTGCTCTTCGCCCGGGAGTTGTGTTGAGATGCACTAATCAGTCACGCTGGCTCAACACTGTCAGAGTTAACAGCATGCGCGTTGACACCGCTCGGTTTGTCCCACGCCGGTCCTGTTGGGGGCGCCCTCACCTGATCAGAATTAACCGCACGGAGGCGCGGCCTCAAGCGGCGCCAACGCACCGCACGGCCTAACACAACCCGCTAAACACCTGCATGTCGCGCCCGGCGGGAACCAGAGCTCACGTACGCTTGCCATTGATACCTCTGCCACACGCCAACCCTTCCCTCCCCTCCTCCTCGTGTCCGGGTTCCTGTGCCCGTCGGGAGCGCATGTCCTCCCCTTCCACCTCTCCTTTCGCTGTCTGTACCCCGCTTTCCGCCGTGACATGCGGCATCCTGGGACGTCTCCCTCAGCCCTTGGCCTGTCAATGGCGGGATGACGCCCCTTTACCTTCAAAATCCAAATCGAGTCAAAGTTTTTATAAAATGCACAACAGTACAGCAAACAGTGGTAGATGTAGGCAATGCAGTGAGTTTCCCAAAGAGCTCACTGTAGTAAATCATACATAACAGGATTAATGACTAAAATAATGAGTAAACTGCAGTCAAACTAGAAATCCCCAAATTCCCCTGCATCCACTTTTATTGCGACCATGTTTGGGACGCCGCAGCGGGCATGCGACGGCTTGCTGCCGCAGCCACTCCGGCCTGTACTCTGGTTCCCTCGCAGGCTGGTGTATTTCTGTGCTGTACGATTGGGAAGGCAAAGCCTGCTGCTTCCTCCCTCTACATGAATATATATGAGGGTCTGAGCTGAGTTGGTTTTTAATACAGCTTAATGTGCGCAGATGTAGAGCAGTCTGTCACATCGCATTCTGATGTGAAAACACTTCCTGTCACACTTAGCCCCGATATAAACTTGGAAGTAGAAGTGCGCTCTTATTATAGAGCATCTCCTGTTGTGAACTGTGACTTTCTATTTACGTGCTTTGGCAGATTGACCTTTGTTTAGCCTCTGTGTCGCTGTTGCATGTGGCTTTGTAAAGGCGGGCCTCGTAACACTATTGACCAATCCCTGCCTGACTTTGGCGACTGGCCTCACCCTCTAGAATCTTCCACATCTCTTGCTATCCACCCACCCCCCTGCCCACGCCCTCCCCCCCTTTTGTCCTATGAACATGCTCTGCTTGGTCGTGGAGCCCACACCATTTTTGTCGATTCTGTCTTTAGGTGTTATGCACTCTGTTGACATCCTCCATCGAACCCGTGTTCATTTCACGCACGGAGCTGACTCTGTCACCGGTCCTTCATGCGGGGTTATATCTGAGAGCCTGCGGCAGCACTGGATGCTGAGCTTAAGGCCGCAGCAGGACACATTAAAATGGTCCTAGTATATAAATGTGGCCATAAATAATCACTGTTTCCTCTGAAAAGTATGAAGATGGCAGGGATGTGTGACTTCTTTCAGGAAAATGCGTTTCTCGAGATCAGTGTTTCCCAACCCAGTCCTCAGGGACCCCCCGGACCGTCCACATTTTTTACCTCGTATAGATGTGTGAGGAGCTGGGAGGGAGCAAAAATGTGGACGGTTTGTGGGGGTTTCTGAGGGCTGGGTTGGGAAACGTTGCTCTAAGTAATTAAATTAAAGGTAAAACCTGACCCATTGAGGTCGCCCCGCTGAAGGTGGAGACAGAGTCGGCCCCCCCGGAAGTCACCGGGCTTCTTGTTCATGCCAGCATTGGACACCCTCTTCTCCTGTGTTCTTTTGCCTTCCCTTCTCTCCCTCAGCAGTCATTCAATGACAAGCGTAAAAAGAATCTCTTTTCCCGAAAGTTCACTTTCTACAAGAACAAGGACCCAGGCGAGCAGGAAACGAGCGATGTTGACCGTAAGTAGCATGTAGGGGCCGACGCGGTACCGACGGGCACAGCCGCAGACGGCCCAACAGCACCCAAGGACCCCTGCGATGGACACCTCCTCAGTGTCCCCACTCTTGGGAAATTCGGCCCCCCCATTCCAGCATTCTGCCCCCTTGCCGCAGTACCAGTGCTTTTGGCGTGTTGCGGCTGAGCGGCTCTGTCTGCCGGTAGGGCCCCCCCCCCACCCCGTGTCGTGTCCCAGTAACGAATGTTCTCTTTGTGGTTGTCTCTCTCGTTTGCTTGCTGACTGCTCCACAGGAGATCCCAGACGACCTGGGATCGAAGGGCCTGAGTAAGTCAGCTCTCGCCAGACCTCCTCCGGCACCTCCTCCGCCTCCTCACTCTCCACCCCTTACGTTTGTCAGAAAATAATTTTGGGTTTGATCAGACCTTTTTTTTTTTAATTTCATGCTCCACCCATCAGTTCCTAACGCATCCATCTTCCACTCAGCATCTGAGAATCACCGTCACTCTCGCCATTGCGTCTTCCTGGGTCTCAGGTCAGCTTACGCTACATGAGGAGGAGCTCAGCCTCCAGTCTGCAGGGGGCGCTAGACATATGGCAGCTCTGACATGGTCCATCTGGGAGGAAATGCTAGGCTTGCTAGCAGTTCTTACTCGCTTATCTGGGTGGGGTTTCTTGACTTCATTTTTGCTTGAACTGATCGGCTGCCTGGTCTGCTGTTTTGGGCGCAAATCACTTGTTAATCATGTATTCTGTGAGACATGCGGGTTCCCTCCTCATTGGCTTGTTAACACACACTCTGAACCTCGTCTTCTGGATACCGACCACTGAGCTGTTTCTCGCTCGTGTCGGTGCTGATCTGTGACATAGACCCTCATCCAGGCTGTACACATCAGCAGACCCGTGCAGGCAATTCACGGGCCTGAAACCCACAAGCAAACAGTCAGTTTACCGTATTTGCCGGCGTATAAGACGACTTTTTCCCCCTGAAAAACATGCCTCCAGGTGGGGGGGGTCGTCTTATACGCCGGGTGCACTTCAGTTGGGATAGACATAGCTGCCCATAGTGGCCTCCCGATGCCCGCCCACCTCATTCTACATACCATCCAGTATCGCGCGGTATCCAGCGCGGCCGTGGTGGGTCAACAGCGTGGCTGTGGCGAGCATCAGCAGCGAGACAGGGGTGCCAGCCTTTTCGGCGTGACCGGCCCGTTCTGCTCGGTGGGAAGCAGCGGCGCTCCGGCCCGCCCCTTGTCTACGCAGAGCTCGCACATGCGCACATGCGCTCTAGTGCCGGTCATAAGGAGATGCAGGGGCGGCCGGAGGCGCTGTGGTCGCGCTGCGGCCGTACAATGGTGACAATGACAGGTACTGTAATGGCACTAATACTAATACTAATGGCACTCATGTAATACCGGTATAATACCGGTAACAATAATAGCACACAGGGGTGTGCGGAAGAGGGGGTAGTCTTATACGGCGAGTATATAACAAACTCTATATTTTGAGTGGAAACGTTGGGGGGGTCGTCTTATATGCCCAGTCGTCTTATACATCGGCAAATACGGTACATCTTAATACGGTTTATTTCCAAACACGTGCGGTTGCGCCTGGGTGAATCCCTTGTGGCAGCTGCAGACGTGTGTTACTGCGCAGCCGTGCATCACTGCGCAGCCGTGCATGTTCAGGGATTCAGCTCCTGGGCTCCACATGACTCTACCCCACATCTGGTCCATTCCGCCATCTGCCACAAACACTCACCACGGAGCACCAGCCTCACACGGGGGGGGGGGGCTTTAAGCAAAGGTTCACAGATGTGAATGTGATCCCGAAGGCCTCTGGAGGAAAGCATGCTCAGAGACGGCATATACACTGTGCTAATGCCCAGGATGTGCCAGCGAGTGAGTCCAGGGTGGAACTGGAGAAGGAGAATTAGGGTTCTACCCTGCAGGTCATTGAGAGTCTGGGCCGACTTTAGGCTGTGGACAGGCGCTGAGATTACAATGCAGCCTTGCATTCATATTACTGCAGTCATATATGTATTACAGGCTAGTCTGGCAAAAAAAAGAGCAATTACAGTACTGTGGCATTTTCCAGAATAACTAGCCTAAAATATCATTGACTTGGCACTGGGTATAGAGTAGGGTTACTGTACCTCATACTATGCTACCCTTGTTAGGGTTTGGATCAGTCTTTCTCAACCTGGCCCTCGGGGGCCTGAAACGGTCCCTCACAGTTTCAAAAACATGTGGACTGTCATGGGCCCCCATGGGCCAGGTTGGGAGTCACTGGTTTCGATAATCATGTTTCAACTCATTTCCTCATATATCTGGGCAAGGTGAATTAAGTGTGTTTTTCCTGTGAATGTGACTTCTACTAATTCTTGAAGTTTTTTTTTTTTCCCCAGTGCTTCATAATTTTCTTTACACACGTTCAGAAAGACAAAGACACCACAATGTTATAAAACAGAAAATTAAAAAAAAAATTATACTAAACACGCACCATTGGCCCGGTGCCTTTGAGAGAGCAGCTGAAATTTTCCAGTCAATGTCTGACTGTCCATTGTAATTGCAACTCAAATATGTGCATAACAGTATTCGGACGAATCACAGGTAAAGACCAGTCTTTCTATGTATTTAGTCTGTGCCATCCTTAGAATATTCCAGCTTCTGTATTTAAACCAAGGAAACTCACTTTTTTTTCCTCTCTCTGTCGTGTCCTAACTGATCACATGACTTCAGTGTCCAGCAGACCCCGGCGTTCCTCGCGTGCCGCGCGTCTGCAAAGCTGTCAGTCTGCGGTTGTCGCCGTCTGTGTAGCGACGTGTTGGTGTCTGTGTGGTTCTCACCTTCCCTCTGTTGCAATTTCAGAGCATGTCACTTCTAATGCCAGCGATAGCGAGAGTAGCTACCGTAAGTCTGTGCTCCGTTTTTACCTTCCCACGCCGCCCCAAACTGCCAGCTCCGCCATTAACCATGCCTCGCACGCCCCGCACGCCCCAAACTGCCAGCTCCGCCATTAACCGTGCCTCGCACGCCCCGCACGCCCCAAACTGCCAGCTCCGCCATTAACCCTGCCCCGCACGCCTCGCACGCCCCGCACGCCCCACACTGTCAGTGCTCACTCACCACTCACCCCGCTTTACGCTCCTCCTCTGAGTGTCACTGTCCCCCACCTCGCACCCAGCCCCCTCCCCTGGCCTGCACTTTGGGGAGTTTAACGGTGACTGTCTCTGTCACTCTCAGCATGCACTGAGCGGAGTGTCTCTCCGCTGAGATTGAGGGTGAATGTCATTCAACAACAGTGAACTATAAACACACTGTAAAACTGTTGGAGGACAAAGAAGCAGCTATTTAATCAACTCCAGCATTACACTATTATTATCGCATATATAATCAAACACACTGTGTCTAGTTATGGGGAAAACGCCATTTGAAGACTGTGGAGATATTTTTTATTTTTTTTTTGCATGTGCTGGTTTCTGCATGTAAAACCTGATATTTCATCACAACTGGGGAACTAGACACTTTGCATGTTTAAAAACAGTCACCTGTGACAATTCAATCTGTGCGGGTCTCTGGACCTTCTCCTGCTCATCTCCATGCATGGGAATGTTGGAATTTCTGCACTTTACCATCGAGGGACTCATTCCGATCTCATTTCGCTCATCCACATTTTGAGCTAATCCACTGCACACAAGAAATAACGAAATTTCGGTCACCTAGCAACAGTGTTGCATGATGCTTACATATATTTATGCAGACTCAAGTCTTTAATCCAGCAGGATGTGTGGAATGTAGGTTAGTGCACCTGTCAGGGCCTGTACACGCCTGAGTATGGTAGCACGTGTTTAAGACGACGCCTTAGTGATCTGACCAGAGGACAGATTCATACACTTTAACAGTAAAGTTAAAAAAACAACAACCACCAGCCATTGCATGGTATGAGAAAAGGCTACACTTTCGCCACATTCTTCCTGAATTTGCTCTGTCCTTTTCACCGCGCCAGGTGGCCAAGAGGAGTACATACTGTCATACGAGCCAGTCACCCAACAGGAAGGTAAGCAGGGGTGAGGCGTGTGAGACTGCCGCCCTTCTGGTGGAAAAAGGCCATAGACGTGATGGTCAAACTCAACGTTGCCCTTGCTTAATGCAGCTGAACCACTGCAGAGAGCGTAAGAGTTTGTGTGTCTCTTGACTTCAGTGAACTACACTCGGCCCGTGATCATTCTGGGACCCATGAAGGACAGGATAAACGATGACCTGATCTCGGAGTTCCCCGACAAATTCGGCTCCTGCGTTCCTCGTGAGTATGAGGAAGCCGCCTCCTAGAGACCGAAGGGGGTCGTTCGTGATGTCACTCGAGATGCCTTCCACCAATCACAGGAAAGCATCATAACTCACCTGTAACGTTACCAATTGGCCTAGCCTTTAAGAAGACATTACTGCTCAGACCCCCTCTATCAGGATAATGGATTTGGGCTCATACAGAATAAACATCATTAGTCACTTGACCTGAATCTAACTGCAGTGGGTTGGAAACCTTGGCTCTTTCAGACACGACCAGACCAAAGCGAGAATACGAGGTAGACGGCAGAGACTATCACTTTGTCGCCTTGAGAGAGCAGATGGAGAAAGACATCCAGGATCACAAGTTCATCGAGGCGGGCCAGTACAATAACCACTTGTATGGGACCAGTGTCCAGTCTGTGCGTGAGGTGGCGGAGAAGGTGAGAACCTACGTACCAGAGCACTCCTGGGGCTCCAGAGTCTATAAAAGCCTGACGCTACACTGCTTACGCTCTAGCTGAGCCTTCATTGGAAGCTCAGCCTAAATGCACTTAAGACCTAGCCAACGCTCTGACAGTCGTATGTTTATAATGTGGCATTTGCCTCATTTGTACGTCGATTTGGACAGAAACGTCTGCTAAATTATAATGAATGTAAATGTAGCCGCCATGCCCGATTGTGTCGTGAATAAGGTTGGTAAAGAAGACTCTGCCTGCCAAGTACAGCACACAGCTTGAGTATGTCTGTAGACCGCTGACAGCAATATTTATGTGAATATTTATGCGATGTGTCTCAGAGCATTTGCAGTTTTAATCAAGTTGTTTTTGTCTCGCCACCTCTGCAGGGCAAGCACTGCATCCTGGATGTGTCGGGAAACGCCATCAAGAGGCTCCAGAATGCCCAGCTGTATCCCATCGCCGTGTTCATCAAACCGAAATCGGTGGAGAACATCATGTGAGTGACAGAGCTGCTGGGAAATGCAGTTTTCTGAGCATCGTGCGGGGTGTGGCTGGACTGCAGACTACTCCTTTGAACCAGACCTCCGACTTTGGTGTCTCCGCAGGGAGATGAACAAGAGGCTGACGGAAGAGCAGGGCAAGAAGACATTCGACAGGGCCATGAAGCTGGAGCAGGAGTTCATGGAATATTTTACCGGTAAGTGGGCTGCCTCTGAAGTCTGCTCCAAAGTCAACGTTCATCTGAGAGAACCGAAGCGCTTTTCCACTACCACCAAGAACCAAGGCGGTACCCGACCCGACTGGCGCTTTTCCATTACAAAGTATATGAGCCGTAAATGCGCTCACATAGCACTGCGTCACCACCATCTGATTGGTCGAAAAGCACGGACATGCCGGTGTTCTGTGCATGGATTATCTGAAGGGAAAAGTGTATATTCTATAAATTACTAATTATTAGTAGTATCACACATCGCAGTGCATTCCCGAAAACTCTGAACTGGAATATTTCCAACCTCCTACTTAAAAAAAGTACTATAGAACAAGCTGCCCGGAATGGATTCGCAATGCAAATTTACAGAAATGAATGCTAATTCCGCTAGCGTTTGACATTTGCATGACACAATTCTCACAGACTTGCTAGCAGAAATTAGCACACAGTAAAAAAGTGTGTGTATGTGTATGTATATGTATATGTATATATATGTATATGTATATATATGTATATATATTATAATTGGACATAGTATTTCACGATGAACAGTAAATAAGCGTTTTCTTCAGTTTTACGTCACTGTCGTTCAAAAAACACGGCAACGTGTTTACTGAGCCGACCCTTCTGCCGTGGAAACCCGAAGCGATCTGGAACCGCGCCGTAATTAGTTTCTCTTCACGGTACGGCTCGGATCCGGCTCGGTTCCGGCTCGGTTCCTCTACGCCAGTGGAAAAGCGCCTTTAGTCACTGTAGCAGCTTCATCATGTCCTCCTTCTCGCACCTCGTTTTCTGTCCATCGTCCCATGAAATGAACGCATCCCCCCCCCCTTCCGTTGCAGCCATCATCCAAGGGGACACCTTGGAGGAGATTTACGAGCAAGTTAAGCAGGTCATGGAGGAGCACTCTGGGCCCTACATATGGGTGCCAGCCAAAGAGAAATTGTGAAGAGGCTTCAAGTTCTACTGTCTCTTTCTGTCCATTTTATTTATTTTTTTAATGGCCTGCAGTGTTTTAATGCCCCCCCCCCCCTTTTACTCCAAGCTTCCAAATCCACAGGCCCCTTTGCCGTGCGTTTGTCAGTGGGGTCACGACCTTTGCTAGGCCCCAGCACGCACCCCCCCCTTCCTTAAACTCTGGCTGTCCCCTCAGGACTGAGTTCTCCTATGGGTCACCACAGCTTCCTGCTAAGGGTTAAGGGCAGTGCCTGTCCAGCTACAATATGTGGGTTTTTTTTACGGTACATTTCCTTAATGTTTAAGGGAGGCGACTTTTGGGGAGGAAAAAAAATTTTACTTGGATGCATTATATACAACTGTCTCTGAGATTAATTTTATGACAGTGGAAAGATGTCTCAGACTTTAAGTCACACAGAGCAGAACGTTGCACGTTGCCGCTCCAGCAGCATGCAGCTATCTTCTCGTCTGCCCGCCCTCTCTCTCCTAATTTCTACCGATCTGTATTTTTCGTAGTCCTTTACTGCAATCCATCCGTCATAGCCTTGTTTTCTTTTACCGTACCATTGCACACTGCCCCCCCCCCCCCCGCTCTCCTCCACATCGAGTCACTGTTTGTGTCGAACTGCACGGATGCTAAAGAACCCAGTGTGTGTTACATGTTAGAGCGTTTCCTAGCTGGTTTTCTAAAGCTTCAACCTAGTGTCTTATTAAAACCTGCTTTTATCACTATGACCTTTGATAGCTTTCATTACATTTAGGTGCTCTGGAACATTCTTTAAAAATACTTTAAAACTCATAATCTAGGAATGGCAATTTTTAGAAATGGTGACCATTGGTTAGTTGGAAACAAAATGCAAAAACCTAAAGAATTTATTGTATGCTGAGATTTTAACAGATATTTAACCCTCCGTAAACTGCCTATTTTGTTATAATAAAAGTCTATATTGAACTTTAAAAACTACAGCTATGGGGAATATTTTCTTTACATTGTTAAACATATATATATGGATCTATAAAAAATGAATATATTTTTCTTTCCTTTACCACCACCTACTTCTGTTTATTTTCCTTCTTATGCTTTAACTTTGAGACTGTAAAATAATAATCCCAACAGAACATAATGTAACGTGGTGGCAGAGCAAATGTATTTGGTACAAGACCGTCACAAATGGATTAACCTTGGCAGCTAGTTCATATCTCTGCCATTTTATGTGAATTATCTGTGCGCCTCTTCGTGTCACATGCATGGTTTTTAACTCTAGGACTTACCTAGAGTAAGGGAGGGGGCAGATCCTGCTTGGTGGCACCCCCTAGCCTTGCAAAGTGTTCCTAGTTAAAAAGTAGTCCCGCGCAGGACTATGCCAGGTTACTGTCATATGGAGACCGTGCGCAACTGGAACAAGTTTGGAGACACGCTTTGTAATGGAAGTCTTTAATTCTTCCAGCAGGGGGCGCTCTGCCCTGGTCCCCTGAACATTATGTTTTTGGAGATGATCGTTTTCTATGAGACTGCTTCGTTACCACATCATCATCGCTTTATAACTTTGGGACTCGAATATGTAAATAAAATACCAATACGATTCATTCCATTTGTCAAAAGAGGAGAACAGCTAATAATAATAATAATAATAATAAAAAACAACTTTCTCATGCAGCTGTGTGCTACGTTCATATTCCTTCGGAAGACCCCGCCCTTCGAGCTGGCAGGGAGGGGTTTCTTTTTAATGCCAATTCAGCCCGACAAACAACCGACACCGTTTTTCGGAAGAAAATGTTTTCACTGCTTAGATACGGAGTATACATCACAATATTAATGTAGGTTACACGAATTAATTTTCCATGATATAGCCATAAATGAAGGTTGAATAGTGGGTTTGATGTTAATCTGTTTCCTTTTTTTTTATCTGTGTTTAATAAATATGAAGTCAACATGAATATTGTGAATATTGTTTACCTACTATATGAAACCGAATTTAATATCACGAGCGATTCAGTGCCGAACTTCAGCGGATAGTTGTGCATCATCATTACATTTTATCTTACGTCAAGTCCCTCTTCTGGATCTTTCATGAGTTGGGTTTGACAGTACGTATCTCTTTATCTTCTGACAAGCATACTAACAGCTTCCCAGCTCATCGGCAATATCTGCGTTTGTGATTGGCAGGACCCACTGTGACACCTGCGGACTTTCATTCGGTGTTCCATCGAGCAATGATACCTATCGAAACGTGCTACTGAGCATTTCTGCGCATGTGCGGTTCCACCGTTTTGGGATTAGCGTTAGGTTTTAGGGCTTATTTAAATCCATATTCCGTTTTTGGTTTTTTTGGCCTTTATTTAAATTTCATGCCATTATTTCTAAGCTACACTATTCTAATAAAAACAACTGACACCATCCTAATCGGTCACTCTTAGGAAACCATATTACAATCGCGTCCAATTACACCACGCTCAGAGCACAGCGTAACTGCATTGAAAAGTAAACATAGCTTACAGTTGTCCGCTATTAGCAAACTGCCATTCCTAACTAAAAGTAATAGATAATGGACACATACAGTACGTGAAAAGAACTTCTGACCATGAGGCTGAGCCATCCCTGTCTGTCGGCGCTGAACAAAAAGCATATTAAAATGGTGAACAGACAATGGAGTATAGATTACGTGGATTATGGATTCACGTGCACGTGTGATCCCTCTGCACCAATTAATAGGTGAGGATGTGAGAGTATATTGTGAAACGGGGATTAAACTGCAGGTGTGTGCACGGATGGGCCGCTGCCATGTTGGGGAGAACGAAGGGATTGATCAACCAGGGCAAGGAGGAAAACCCCGCTGTACTGAAAACGCATTGCTTTTTGCATCAGGAGGCTTTCATGGCTAAGACGTTACCAAAATAGCTGTCTGATGCGCTGCACGATGGGCTGCACACTGTCAACTTCATTATAGCAAGACCTTTGAAAAGCTACATGTTCGCTCTCTTATAGGAGGAGGTGGGCGCACCTTTAGTTCTCCCATGGCAAAGTTTTGTCTCGCGTCTATGAAATGATCGAGTAATCGCGACATTTCTTAGCCACGGAAAAGCCCAACTAGGCTTGTTTGATGATGGAGAGTGATGTGAAAAGCTGGCGTACATGGCCGACGTCTTCCAGCATCTGAATGAGTTAAACGTGCACATGCAAGGACTGAAACACCCTAACCAGCACAGACAAACTCCGAGAATTTCATTCCAAACTCGGCCTTTGCGCAGGGGACAGTGGAAATGTTTCCTCTCGTTCACACAGGACAAGCCACCAGTGGGCCTCCAGCTGGCATGTGTCATGTCATCTCAACATTTAAAAACACTTGAAGAGAAATTCGCCTTCTGTTTCCCCTCAGCCTTAACCGAAGACTTTGACTGGATCCGTGACCCGATTAAAGAATTTAACAGGAAACTTATCTTTGCAAATTTAACAACAGCTCGTTGAAATGAGGGAGGACCGTACTATGAAAATACTCTTAAATGACGGCCCCTTGGAAAGTGGTTGGTTAAGCGCAGCTAAGGCGTATCCATTAATCTCAGACGGAGATTGGAACAGACTGGGATGAGAATTCCTCCTACCTACTCGTGCGGGCTCAAATTTTCAGGCTTTCTGCTCATCAAAAGCAAAAAGAGAGAAATTGAGAGCCGTGGATGAGGAGCCCCGGGTTTGCCTCTCAGTACCAGAGAGAATCCCTTCATTGTGCAACCAAACAAGCCCACGTTTCACATTGAAGTAAGTAGCCTATAGGCAAATGCCCAATAAACAGCAAAACATGCTATTTTGGACTTGTGTATGGTTAATGACGTGTGCCGCGAGAGAAAAAAGTTTGCGAAACACTGTCTTAAAAAAAACATTTCTAAGACAGCAGCACAAGAATAAGGTGAAGCAGGAGACACTGGGAATGACCAGAAACCAGCCAGGTAAAGGGCGGAAGCGATATTCTAATGCCAGAGATGACCGTCAACTTATCCGACAGTTTCTCATGAATCGGATGATGACACCAAGTGACCTTAAAAAGGATTTCAAAATCAACTTTCCACTGTTACCATCTGAAATTTCTTTATAGACATTGCGGTTTTCTTTTATTGAATCTCCATTCCAAACCAGTACGAATTTTCTATTAAGTAACAATGTTTTAATAGCATCAACACTATTGTCCCTGAAATTATACACAAAAGGGAACGAGATTCATCTAAGTGTATTACAATTAAAAGTAATAATTCATCCTCATAACCAAACAAAAGCATACGTATTTAAATCATTTCTCCGTTTCTTCACTTTTTCGATATGGATTTTTTTAAGTGCAACATTTACTTTTCGCCACAAGGTGGCACTGTGCTTACACAGATAGCATGCCCTGCTATACATAATCAACATTTAGGCTAAAATTGCATTCAGTGAGTGTATTTATACTGTTCAAATTTGATATTTGTAAGGGGCAGTGTAAATTGACTAATTATTAAAATAATGAAAACTGTTTCTCTAGCATTCTACTACATAAAGAAAGTACGGATTAGAAAGGAAACTGTTTTAAACTGGTCCATGAATTGGCCTTTCACAATTCAAAAGATTGGGGGCTTATTTAAATTGTGCTAGCATAATGGAATGTACCTATAACAGCAGCAGGTTTTTAGCCTAATATCTCCCATGTCATCACTGTAATCATTGTATCGAGTCCACGATAAAGGTTATCTGCCAGTTTTGTAGATCAGACTAATGTGTCATTTCACTAACATTGCCCCATACCTATTCACATCTTTTATGCATTTTCTCGGGATGCAGGTAGATATATACACTCACCTAAAGGATTATTAGGAACACCTGTTCAATTTCTCATTAATGCAATTATCTAATCAACCAATCACATGGCAGTTGCTT